AAAAAAAAAAAAAAAAAAAAAAAAAAAAACATATATATATATATATATGTATATGTTGCTTTTAATATATAAAATGCCAATATGTGATGATCACAAAAAGGTCTACGGTAATTTTTTTTTTTTTGTCATTTTGATGGATAATTGCCTTTTTGGGCACTATTTCACTCCAATGAGTGGCCACCTGAGAGGATTCATAGAAGAGCATCTTAATAGATGGACTGGTGCTCCAGCCAAAACAAAAGGGGAAAAAAAGGATGTACTTGGGTGATTTAATCCTCTTGTCTTCAGCCTACTTGTTTCAATTTCTACTCTTATGCTACTTTTGTGGAGCCTCACGGGTGTAATGGATAAAATCAATGCTACTAACCTAAGCAGTGTCTTTTTTTTTTTTTTTTTAGAAAGCATTGATAAATGCTTATAACTTTACAGGGTTCAGGTTTTGAAGCATGATTCTTTTAAGAGTTTATGAGCAGTGTGTCAAACATTCAGCTTTGTTGTTCCTGGAGGGTTGCAGTAATAAGTACTCATTATTATTTCCATTGGATAGTTATTTAGATGAAAAACTGAGATAATTTAGGTAGATCTTGACCCCCACCATTGACAATTCATGTAACTCAAGCTTGTCTAACCACATCACTGGTAAAAAATTGCAAGCTTCTATTTCAACAGCATAAAACTCAGTAATGGGTTAAACCTGCATTTTTTTTTTTTTCATTATTATTATTTTTGGTGTATTCACAGAGCTTGCTTTCTGCGTTTTATTTGCTAACTCTAATTCGCTTTTATCTTTCTGCTAAATTCAGTTCCTTGCTTTTGTTTTCTTTCTCTTTATTCTAAGCCAAAAAGGTACAGAAGAATCCTCTTTTCAAAAACCTTTCTCATAATGATTATTAAGATTTAGCCACAGCACATTCCACATACATTTCATTACAAGACAACTTCATTTTAGAAGCATAGCAGCTCAACAAAAGCATGCTAATGAGATTTTAATGTTTCTTAATGACCCGTTGCTAGTCATTGTGCTACTTTGATTATATTCTGTACTTTGGACCATTTGTGCCGGGACTGCCAGATTAGGCGGCTTTTGTGGTCAATGATGCCAGCACACGTCCCCCACTTACAGGTTTATGGTCGTCTCTCTTAGTAACTGTAACGTTGATGTCTTAAAGGCACAGCGAGACAATGGTGGGTTCTCTCAACGTACGTTCTGAAGTGTGTATGAATGATGATGAATATGATGAATAACATAATCACTCAACAAACAACGAGAATTAAGTTGGCGCATTAACTTCAGTGATCTGAAGTTGGAGCTTTACTTTGGATTATGATTGATTTCTGTACCAAACACGAGTGAGCTGGGTTTCAGGCCATTAACAGATTTTCTTCCGCCCCCTGCGATTAGCAAAAGCACTTCCCGCGCCCACACTGAATTCAGCTGGGGCTGGCTATGGTGCCGTGTGTGTACGCTCTTGCTGCCTGTGCCGAAGATGTGTGTGTGTGTGTTTGTTTTGTGTCTGCATTGCCCCCAGAATAGCCAGCTTCTCCCAGGAATATGAACTGACACATACACAGAGGAGACATAGACGAGCCAGAAGCCAGCTACCATTAATGCGCCATATTTTATCTCCATGAATAGTACCACACACACACACACACACACACACACACACACCGTGAGCGCCTTTCTCCCTCCGGACAGGCTCTGGTTGCTGCTTATGTGTGCGTTTATGGGAGACGGCGAACATACGGCAGCTTCCATGCCTCCCAAAGGCCAATGAGGCAGAAAGTAAAGGCCTGTCAGGAAAAAAAAAAAAAAAAAAAAAAACCGCTAAAACAAAACCCTAAAAAAAAATAAAAAATAAAACCCCTTAAAATACTCTAGCAGCTTATCGATATTCAAGCAGCATATGCCATCAACTTTTCTGTTTGGGATGGCAGCCAACAATAGCTGTATTTAAACTAAAAGCATAACAGAAATAACCAAACAAAAAGCATCCAAAAACACAAACCGAAGGTAGTGAAGAATGGAGATGGTGCGCTCAACTTGTGTCCTTTCCATTTTGTTAAATGGTTGTAACAGAGATGACGTCATCACAACATACGGTCATGCCTTCCTGCTTTTAAAAGATGTAAGTCAAATTACTTGCTCAAAGTCAGAAAAGCCCACTTTTAAACAAACAAAAAATACTTATCTGCTTTGTAGAACAGTAATAATCCAGATTTTAATTTGTTTATTTTAAATAGATCTTTGGATGTCCTATCTCTAAAAGATGATGATATTTCGCCTTAATATATTTCCTCAGGTTGGCTTTTGCGCTCCACAGATGCCAGGCTTGTAGAATGAAAGCTACATTTCTCTGGCCAGAAAACAGTTTGAATATATTGCTTTTGGAGACATTTTTGCAAATTAAGCTCCACACCGAGAGCCAGCCAAGTTTTCTGTTAACTAATCTTCTCTCTGCCAGTCATACAGACCTGGTGGCAGTAAAGGCTAATTCCACCTGTCGCAAGGGTGAGCGACGCAGTGGCCCAGTGCTCTCCCAAGGCCAGCCCTTATTACACGAAGAAAGAATTTTTATCAATGACAGAGACCCCCCCCCTTCTCAGAGGTCACACTGAAATTAAAAGGTAGAACCTGCATCTTTTCCCTCTGAGGGGAAAAGAAACTCTTATCTTCTTCTTCTTTTTTTTCCCTGCCTATTTTAAAATTTAAAGTAGGGTCTTCTTGCTATTTCTTACATGCATGTACATCACCATGACACAATGGCTCAGGGGACCCGCCTGTAATGTTTTAGGATTCCTTCGTTTCCCACACACATAAATCAAGCTGACATGTGGCTTTACACACTCTTGCCTCTCATTTCTCGAGGTCTCTGTTTGGTATGCACCTTAATTGGATTCTGTGTTTGCGCACACGCGTCGTGTACTCACGCCACCGTACGTGTTTTGGTCTGAGAGAGTCCACACTGGAGATATGATGTCTGGTGCGTTTGTTGCTGGCTTTAATCTCTCAATCTGACTCGACTCAAGTTAGAGTCAAGTTGGTGCCGAATGGTTTCGTCTGTCATTACTGTGTTTCTTCATTGTGTGTTCAATATCTGATGGCAGCAAACTGCTTTTAAAAAAATGGGGTGGAAACTCTGCATTGTCAAAGGTTTTGCTTGAGTTCTCTGAGTCTTTCTTGTATTGCTTCAGGTAGACAAGTCATTCGGCGTTTGCTTCTTCTTCTTCTTGATGGCTTTCTGGGAGCTTTTTACACTGCTTTACTCTGTCTCTCCAGGAGGCTGAATGGCACTGTGATGAGTTCACCAAGGGAGCCTGCTTCAGCCGTGGAAAATCCGAGGTGAGTTTGCATGAACGCTCTCTTCTATTGCTTTTCCAGACACATGACGAGAAAAACAAGTTTTCATTGTTGTTTGCAAAAAAGAAACATACGATTTTGCACCAGAAATTACTTGATGACCTTGGGTCAATTTGCATCTTCAGAACCAACAAGGTAATTGAGTTAAAGGGATGCTAATCTGCTCCTTTCTACGATCAATTGTAAAATAAACTTTACTTTGCATGACGGGTAGATACTAATTTTATACAGTCTTTAAATAACTTAATTATCTAAAGTGTTCAAGCATGCTATTGAATCTAAACTTAAATATATTTACTCCTTGTTTTCCCTTTTTCACTCTCTACCCTCTTTCCTATTTGCAGAACTACCAAATAAAGGACAATGCTTTAAACAGTAATTTAAAATAAAATCACAACACCTACATACTGTTAGTCAAACAAATCTAGTGTTTAACAGTTAACACTGACAAATAGCATTTGCTCTTTGGCTCTGATCATTCATGTATCATTGGCTTTACAGATGTATGATAATTAAAAAACACACACTGGGACCACATTTGCCTCTTACATGAAATTACACCCTGGACTAGCAACGTCTTCATCATACCCAGTATATAAAAAGTGTGACAGTGCTTCATGGTAATATGTATATAAAAGAAGTCTTATTATTTAAAAGTTTATTTCCTCCACACGTATAAGGAAAAAGGCCTTTGTGAACTTATCAGCAACCAGCAGAGTTGAGCATATGGGTTGCGGCCATGAAAAACCAAATAGTCTGAAGAAATGCCAGATACCTTTCGGTAGACACAGTGAGAACGTGTAATGGCGTCTTGCTAACTGCTAAAACAAGGACTGATAACGCTGGAGATAATCTCAATACACACAGACGTCAAGATAAGACTCTGAAACCAGTGACATTTGCAGATCTCCACATCCTGGGACCAAACGCTTCCCTTAAAACTCCTTTAAAAATCCCTACGCTCACCCCTACAGAGCAGGGCTCGTACAGAGGCTGCCTCCACAATTTGGGAGTGAAGAGGATGAAGCGGCTCGCTTGCAGTCTTGGCCTTACCTCCGCGAAAGACTTGTGCGATCGGCTTAGGTGTCGTGTTCATCCCAGAGTGGCCAGTACAACCACGACGACTGACTTGCAACAAATACCAGTTAAGAAACGTAGCGCTAGCCAACAACATTGTGTGAACAAGCTGGTGACCATCATTAGGATGACCTGCCAGGCTGTCATGGTAGTCTACTGTTCTCCTATCCAGACTGGGTACAGAGCCCGCCTGTTTGTTAAATACATAAATTGTTAAACTGACGGCATGTCCTTTCTCCTCAGACTCCAATCATTTAATTCGACAGATGACACCAAGCAAGGGTGCATAGGGAGATAAGCTGTTTGGCTTCGGCAGGGAGGACTTGGCAAGTCATTCATGGGCGGAACCCACATCCAGCTCTGCTATTTAACACCCAGATGTGTTTTCTTTGCATATGTGGCCCCATTTAAAAGGAGCTGAACAAATACAATGTCACTTACTTTTTCTAACATGCAATATTGCCCTTATCAAAGTTGTATATAGCTTTCTAAATAAAACTAATCTTTGTTATTATTTTTCTTTTATATTTAGTATTTTCATGAGGATTTATTGCGCCTTTCTTTCACATCATGTCGAAATAAAAACCTTATTCCTTCAAACTTCAGCCCAAAAGTCATCCATTGCTAAGGACTTTCTAAAATTGCAGGCTAAAAATAAAACTACAATATAGGAATTAAACATGTTAGGACTTGAAAGCAACTGGATTCACTTTATCCACCCTTAATATATGGACGCCGTTGGAGCTTGAGTGGTTTTAAATCTGCTCACTACAGTGAAACGTTCCCTTACTATACTTAAACATTTATTTATAGACTTTTGTACAAAGGGAGTTCCTATTGTTTTACTCCTTTCTTTGCAGCCTATATTTTAGTATGTGGCCTGATGGTATAGCCTTCTCTATACAACAGATGTCTGTTTGAGCTGAATTTGACTTGTAGGTGAACTGCTCAGCCCTGATTCTTATGTGCGTCTGCCGCTGTGTATTTATCCTCCAGTGAAAGGTGGTCAGGGACCCATAATAGGCATGCACAGGCTGCCCAGCACATGATCGTCGAAGTGAATTACAGACCAAAGCTACCTCAGTCCTCGGGAGTCGCTACAGTCTGGCAGGGCAGCATTGTTTTACTCTGTGTTCTCTTCTGAGGATCAGTTGCTGTGATGTACACTAAGAATAGCATTTTTCCCCCCTCCAGCAGTTGACAGGGCTTTCTGTGGTTTATTACCTCCCTCAATGCACATCAATATACCATAAATTAAGCTGTTACGCAGATCCCATCCCTGTGTTTTTGGGAGAATTTACCGGTGATTTTAGGTTGTTGTTGTTTTTTTGTCCCTAATACATGCATCTGCGCCTCGGTTCTGTGTTTGATTTATTTCAGCTAAGATAAGAAAGCAGAGTTAAATCACCTTGTTTGCTGTTTCTGTTGTGTTGTGAGAACCAGCATAAATGCTTTTGTTTTGCTCTACAGATGTGGAAAGTTTGTCAGGAAGCTGTCACAATAAAGCCAAGCAGTGGATGCTGTCAAAATCATAATTATTCCCATTACTAAATTAGGAAGAAACTGCGGAGAAGAATTCAAAAATGTAGGTCCTTATTTTTCAACCCACCCGCAAACACCCACACCTCCTCACACAAGTTTATAGATCACATCCAGCTGCACAAACACCCCGAGTTCAGGGGCATTGCAATAAATTTAAATATCCTCAAAAAGTTAATTTCCATTAGTAATTCCATTTAAATTGTGAAACGCATTAGTTATATAGGGATATATTTTAAGAATTTATTTCTATTTTCCTGCAATGATGACATGCTTCAATAAAATGAAAATATCATTTTTTATTTTCAATACAGAACTCAATTCAGTACTATTCAATTATCCAGCTATGTATGTGGGGCTGATTTTGCATTATTCCTTGCATCAAGGTGTGAAGGCAGTCAGACTTTGTCGCGACTGAAGTGGCAGGAAAAAAGCTCAATTCTGAGTGGCCGTCTCCAGCACTGCGTTATAAAGGTAGCGCCTTTGCAGAAGACACCATCAAGCGCTCTGACATTTATTAATAGAAGGTTTGGACCTTATAAAGCTCAGCAAACCAGCAGATGACCTAAATCATCAGTGACTGTGGAAACCTCACATTGAACACACTGGACTCCAAGCAACGGTGCCTGTACAAAGCCCCCAGACTCTCCCTAGACTCTTGATTTCCCACTAAAGGGTAAAATGTACTTTCATCTGAAATAACACTTTGGACCGAGGTCAGTTTATGGTTCTGAAAATGCCTCTTGACGACAGAGTTATCCCGACGCAAACATCATGCCATTTCCTCGATGCCTCTGTGTGGTGGCTCTTAAAGTTATGACTCCAACCACAGTCCATGCCTTACCAAACGTTTGAATGGGCTTTGCTACAAGATCTTCTCAGGGCTGTGGTCCACACCTTTTCTTTCCCCTAAACTGTTCATTAATATGTTTGTATACAAAATTGTGTTAACTGATAGATTCTCTAATAGTGATTTTTTTCTTCTTTACACAGATACTGGGTGCAGTCTGCTGGGCTTCCTCACAGAACTTTTTTTTTTATCATTTGCTATGATAAACTGAGTTGACTGCACTGCATTATAAGTTGCAACTAATTAGACCTGTAGATAATTTTTAGAAATGATTTGAATTACTGTATGTTTTTCAGTGACGTTGCAGAACGAGACAGCAGCCTTACCTATAATTATTGTGGCCATACCATGGGTTAGTTATGCAATACTCCAATGAAATTCTCTAATCTTCTACGAACTATAACCCATGTTAAACAAATTAATAAAAAATACACAGAGTAACATGTATTGCTTATGTAACATGTGAAGTATTACTCAAACATTTATACTTTTTGAGGATAAGGCTTTAATAAGCCCCTGTAGGCTTGTAAATGTGCTGCTCATGAACACATCTTTTGTTTTAACGGCATATACGTGGTCACCTTGAATACTTGGAAGTGTTGAGGGTTGGGAAACAAGTAGTTCCAGGTGTTGGTGTTCATGTTGTTTGGGGAAAATAAATTCCCTTTCCTATGCCAGCCTACACTCCTAAATCAGACCCTTAAGAGTGAAAAGAGGGGTGGGTGAGGGTTGCTGCAGTGGCTGAAACAATAGCAGATTTACAAGGGTTTAAACTTTTACAAGAGCCCTTTACCTGTGACCAGGGCCCCTGTTAGACGGAGAGAACCCTACAGGTTTATTTATTTTTTGTCCTGTGAGAAAAAAAAATAAAAAATTGCCACTTCATGTAGTAAATGCAGACCACCTTTACATTTACCACAGGTTGACTTTAGTTGATGGAAATCACCTGCAAGCCCTCATGAATGCCTGACCTTTACATTGAAAGTTCATAACATTGAGCGCCGATCTATCATTCAATCAATCTTTCACTCTGTCAGTTCTACTCTGGTTTTTGTGAGCTTCTGACCGAGAGCCGAGTAGTTTTGCTTGAAACCCAGGAAGGAATTCCCACAAGAGTAAGGAGCCAAGAAAAGGCTGATGAGTGTGTACTTCACTCTAATTTGGAGAAAAGTGGTTTGAATTGATTGTGGTGGGGAGCGGGGCTAAAAAGAAAGGATGATTGAATGAAGTGTATGAGAGGCGACATTTTCATTTCACTTTCTGACCAGTCAACAAAGCCAAGGCAATTTTCTAAACTAATTCTGAGTGGCCCTCTCCAACACCTGTTGCATTTATCTGGTCTCCGCCGTGTTGAGATCCCTCTCCAAATCTGATCCCCACTGAATTAGGATGTGACATGGCTAAGCCATGCAGACATTAGCCTTGATTTGACTCTGTGTAAGTTGGCCACGTTTCGGAGCAGCCCTCCTGTTGATGCAGGTGCTTTTCTTATTTATTGGCATAAAGTGTAATTTGGCCCCTTCTGCCTAATGCTGCTGCTTGCCAGTGGATAGATAATGGAACTTTTAGTAACTGCTATATATGTTTTTTTTTTTTTTTTTTATTTGCCTGTGCGTTTCTGCAGGAGGAGTGCCAGAACTACATTAGAGTGCTGCTGGTTAATGGGAACAGGCTGTTTACCTGTGGAACCAATGCATTCACACCCATCTGCACCAATCGAACGGTATGAGCATCATAACATCCACAATGCTGTTTACAGAGCCTGCAATTTGCAATCCAAACCCCTTTTTCAATGCATACATAACCATCCACGAGTTTGACAGAAACTGAGAGAGGCTGTGTTTTTACTGTCATATTGTTTTTGCCTAACATTTGCAACATTATTTTTTACAATGCTGGACGGAGTAAAGTTTCAATATTAACATAAACACTTCACAAAAACAACTTGATGAATAACTGCAGCTTTTAACAGTTTTAGATAAAGTTGAAGCTTAGACTAATAATATTTTTAGTTGCGCCCATCTGCCATCTGTGTAGTTTACACAAAGCAGCATGTGTACTAAGCTTTTTTTTTTTTTTTTGCACATAAAGAGAAGTGCCTCAACAACACAAAATAAATATGACATTATAGTTCTGCAGACGTTCTGCACTTTCTTGACTGAAATACAGATGTATAATGGCATATAATGGCATATATGATGGTGATAGTGTCCACAGATATGGTAAATGATAATGTCCTTGTTAATTCTTTACTTTTTAGCACTACAATCTCAACCAGTTAGACTGTAAATTGAATTTCTTTATAGAAAAATTATCCTTCCTCAATTTGCCTTGCATAGTCAAAGACAACTAGGCTTGCTAATTTGTAATTTTTTTAATTATCTTTGTTTTTCTTTTTTGAATTTGAGGAAATGTCTAAAATAGCAAACACAGATTTGACAATTATATAAAAAAACTAAGCAACAGAACAAATGTATGTAGCCTTTTTAAAGAAAAACATATCTAAAAACATATGTTTGCAGTCCACTTTTAAAAGACACAACTCTTAACTGCACATTTATTCAATCCATAAATTGTCAGTAAACATAAGAATGAGATTTTTGATAATGTGACACTTTTTACTGCACAATTAAACAGCAGAGAACCTGCCAAGGCATTCTGTGAGACTCTTACATCAGCAAAGTCTCTCCACTAGTGGGAAGAGTAGCCAAAAATTACACTCAAGTCAGGGCAGCACTGATAGTAATTAAAAAAAAAAAATACCCAAGAGTAAAAAAGTAAAGCCTACTTAAGTAAAAACAAATGAAAGCGGAAGAAACACTCGTTTCCAAATCTGTTTTCCACCAGATCAAACTATTGAATGCTTGTGAAGACACAATATATACTGTTTATTTTGTGTTTTCTAAATCTCCAAATTGGCACCATATTCTCAGAGGACAGAAAATAACATTAAAACAATGATGCTTGTCTTCAACCGTTTTAACGTTGAAGACAGCGTTGAAGACGTTTTAACAAAGATATTGCTAAGACATTTCAGTGGACTAATTAAAGTTTGGTAGAGCAGCCAGAATTTGCTCTCAATAAGAATAGCACTACTTCATAATAATATCACTCAAGAAGAAGTAAATAGCATGGTGTAGAAAAAAAATCAGTATCTTACATGCGAGTCTCCATGTTGATTGTATAATTGAAGTTGTAAATATTCCATCCTGCTATCAGAAGGGGAAAGATTACAAGCAAAATGTGGTGCTTACCTGCTTTCTCTTTCCTGGTTTCAAACTTGGTTGCTTAGCTTTTGTCTCCTAGCTTGTCGAAAGAAGTTTATCATTCAGCTTTTCCGCCACACAAATTATCCTTTGTATTCCATCCTTAAGTTCACAAAAAAAAAAAAAAAAATTCTGGGAAATGCTACATCAAAGCATTTAGAAGTGGCTGCTGCAAACTTCTACAAAGCTGTTCTCTGAATTGTAGTTAAACTGGTTAACCATATCTTCTTTGGATAGCATTCCAGCTTTTTAACCGATATGCATTTTTTCTTCATTGATAATCATAACCTTGCAGGTTGGTCAAGTGCATCAACTCCCTCGCGTCAACGCGAGGGGGCCGCGGCTGCCGCCTCAAAAGAAGCTGGCAGCCGCTACAAAGCACGCACTTTGAGAAATCGTTAGCATAAAATAGCAGCATTACGACGGGCATGTGAACAATGCAAATTTGAAGACTGGGTTGTTATTTTAATGATGTGACATTGTTTGAGGGAAAGGTCAGGTTGATCAACTTATTTAATCAAGGTGAGTCGGGAGAATGACACCTCAGCATTCCCTGTTCAAGCTCCCATTGTGCAGCCGGGCGTGCTGACTAATTATAAAAATGAATCCTATTAAGGGCCCTGATTTCCGGAATTAATGTTACCCCAAACTTGTTTAGCATCTCAATCAAAATGTTAAGCTCATTACTCTTGTTAATGCTGGCACTGGGCTCCGTGTAAACACTTGTTGACCCTTCTGAAAAGTCATTGAAATTTATTTAGCTTCTGTTTTTTTGTTTCATTACTTTTTGTGCACTCCTTCTTTCTCCTATTACATTGAGATGACTCATTCCCCTTTGGCTCCCAGGGAGCTGATCTTAAACATTAGAATTATTTTTGGTGAAACTTCTCACTTTGAATTCAGCAGGCTGCACTGAGGTCAGCCATGTCTTCTGCGTTTGTTCACTCCCTACAGTTATAAAAAAAATATACATTTTATAAGGTGACTAAAATATCTAGGAGACTACTTCTGGTGACATATGCCCCTGGAGTCAAGTGTAGCTGAACTTTTAAAATGTCAGACTACTTTTTACCTTATAACAGTGATATGACCACATCGCCAATCTGCATTTCACTCTTAGAAGAAGACTGGGCAGGAGTTTACAATTGAGATGACATTTGTTTTGGTCCTAAAGCACTGAATTCAAAGGTCAGAATCTCATAATGACTGTTTACTGCTGTGAAAACACATATAGTTGAAATGCCATGACATTATTACAGCTGTATTTCTTTAGGAGCTGTCATATTTACGAGCTGAATGTTCGTTAATTTGAAACATGGGTCAGGAACGTCGGCATCAATAGAACGCCGCTCGCACAGGTTTTTTATCAGCTGTGACGATGAACAGAGAGTGGCATGAATATCAATAATTTAACAGAAAACTAGAGAGGCCTAAGACAGACTGTAAGGTATAGAATAAGAAATGGTGCGTTGGCAATAAGGTGCACCTCATGACTGATTTTGATTAAACTATATTTATTTGTCAAATACCTATCGCTACTAGAGAGACACACATCTTTTTTAGTTTTTTTATTATTTTTTTTTAGCTTTGATCTGCCAATGACTTAATTTGAGATGATTCCGATATCCCACATTTATTTCCACATGAAGTGGCTAAAATTACACGAAGGCTAATTGTACCAAGTGCACATGATAAGACGCCTGCTTCTCACTAGTTCAAGGAGATTCGCCAAGTTTGAACCCCAGACATTTATTTTGGTGAGCTCCTGACTCAAGTAGACATGATCATTACGGCGAGCTCGAAAGAGTTTCTGTGGCCGTCAGAAAGAAGTTACAGCAGCCAATGTCTGGATGTGTCAGATGAATTTCAAGTCATCCATTCCACAGTATGAGACGTAGTAAACACTTTGAGGACATTCACAACAACCACCAATTCTCAGGTCTCAATGACCAAGTAAAGTCAACCTGAGAACAGACAACAAGGTGCTAAAAGAGTTCTCCAAAACCTCTGAAAAGTTATTACAGGGCCTACAGGACAAAGTTGATATTGTTAATGTCAAAGTGAATGCTTCTACAATCAGAAATTCAGCAAATCTCCTCCTCGCAAACTTCTCATAATAAACTTGCAAATAAGAGACATTTGTCTACATTGTTAACATGGCCAGTCCATACATCAGATTTCCCTGCACTTTGGGAAGTGCAGGGAAAGTTAATTTGTGGAATGCTAACTATTAGGGCCTGATGCACTCTTCCACTATAACCTGCAGAGGACAGTCGGTACTTCCCTCAGGTGCTGGCTCCTACCTCGTTTCAAAACGTTCAGAGTACAGAGGAGGTGCTTGAATAATACTCACACCCGTGAGCGCTCAACTGTGGAGCGTGCCAGGGGCCTCTTAAAACGCCAGTGGCAGCGAGTAAACTTTATTTCACGTCACTGTGGCTACCGGAAAAGATATGTTTCTGCCTCTCCACCTCACTCACTTTCATGGCTTTCTGCCTCTGTGAAATTGTGATTTTTTTCCCCTCGTTTCCTCATCATTGCTATTGTTAATAATGAAATAACGTGATAAGCTGGCTCATTTAAATTAACACTGTCATTCACGAGGTGCTTCGCATTGACCATTTATGGTCGAGGGCATGTAGAGGGCAGAACCTGAGGCGGGACCTTGTGCACAAACTCTTAGGTACAGCTGTGATTTATGGAGGAAAATTGCTTAATGGTTTGCATGCACATGGTTTTATAAATCAGAACGTGTTTTCGTCCGGTTCTGTTCACTATCCAGCTCCTCTCTGCATTTCTAATGTTGATTAAGTTTACTGCAAATTATTGGTCGCCCTGTCAATTACCAGGTCTGAACTATGCAAGCCCAAGCCAGCAGATAGCTTCCTTGCCATATTTAGCAGGTGAAAACTCTTACTCTGACTGTTGGGTTTCTCATTCTTTTAAGAATTATTCAAAGAGTCGATGGTTCTTCTTTACAAGCTGTGATCCATCTCCTTCCACAAAAGTCCCTAGAGCGTCCAAGCCCTGCAGCTGCTTGCTCTATACAGGGACGACTTTCACTTCCCTTCCTTCAAAATGAAACGGCTTCTTTGCCATCTATTTATTCCTCCTCCTCTTCTTTTTCTCAATGACCCAGCTGACCTAATAAAATGACTCCTGCCAACGGAATCAGCCGTGTCAATACCAGGCTTTCACCTCAGACTGGCAAAGCTCACACAGGGTCGCTTCTCTGTTGTGGTTTGGGTTGGCATTAGAGAGCAGATAGGACTTTTTTTTTTTTTTATCCAAATCGACAGGCTCTAGGACATTGGCACATTGCTCTGAATTCACCTTAACCCTACCATCTTGATTTACTCATTTGCCATGGGAACTTCGATGAATATTGAAAGTGCACATGTCATGACATAAATCCTGCATGCCGTTTTGCTTTTGCACCATAAAATATAATTACATCTTAGATTGGAAAATTGCAATTCTCCTTTTCCCTTTCCAGAGCGCACTTGCAGAGCCATGTGCTATGGCTCTTCAGCAACCAGTCCAGCGTGTCAGGGATAAGCCAAGGTCAAGCCGTAAAGTATTTTTAAAAAGCAGGACCTTGGATTTGGCTTTATATTCAAAGGCGAAATGCAGTGGAGCAGTTCATCGCTCATCAAGCCTTTTCTGTAACTCGGAGTGGCAACTCAAAGATGTGGTTTAACAATGTTGCATGTTGACGAACAGCTGGTTGTTCTGTAGAGACACCAGAAACCAAACCATTAAAGCACTTCAGCCAAGACGAATTCTGTTGGTCCTGAACAGGTGGTTTCTTACCATTAGACTAAAAAGCAGCTGTTGTGCTTGTGTGTTTTACGACGCTGATTATTCTGAATGTGCTCTCTAATTATGCTCCTTGCTTCTGAAGGTTCTGGTTGTACGTGTTGTTGTGTGCTTCACAGTAGATGTAAACAAAGCAAAATGTCATGAGATGAGGTATTTTTTGCTGCGTGTGCTATTTGCATATTGGCAGGAGCAAACAACACAGCTGCACACTTCTTTGATTTGCATTTTAATGTTGCCCTTTGATGCTTTGTCCTATATATTGTTGCTGTTGTCCTACATCACTATGCTTACTTTAGTGCCTGCTGCTGCGTGATACAGCACCAACAGCAATTGTTCGTAGCTGCGGTAAAGATATTTGAAAACCGTAAGATATTGGACCTTTTATTGCAGTAGTATTACTAAAAATAAAAGTAAAATCCAGACTTTCATTTTAGTTAATTTATTCAATTGGAGGATGGAATCTCACCTAAGAAGTAACCGTTTCCAGTCTTTGGGGTCACAATTTCTATAAAATAAAATTTCTAAAAGTATTTCTTGTGATTCTTACTTTACCTTTCTCTTTGAATTAGAGTGTGTCTGGGTGTAACTGCATTTGAAAATGAAAAGGACAAAAGTGCATGCCGTTAAAGAAGAGCAGATGTGCGTTTATCTCCCAAAGTCGTGAAATGATTACAAGAAAATAGTTATTTGCCCAGTGTTGCCCATGTCTTCAGTAGGAACAATAATTAAAACATTTTAAACAACAATGGTGATTCACACAGCTGCTCGAGGACCCGAGTTTACCCTGCAACCGCGCCCATCATGCAGGATGTCGATTGTAAGAGATAAAAAATAAACAATAAAAAACCACTATTTAAAGAGTAACAACTTTGGCTCACCAAGGCATGTTAACAAAGGTTGTTTTAAATCTGGCCATTAGAGTGCAGTTCTGAGTTATCTTCCAAATTTTGAGGAAAGTAGCAAACATGAGGACATTTGCTAATTGTCTATATTGTACATTTCACAAGGGGACATTAAAAAAAGGCACCATAGTAGACAGACATAGCCTGTGCAGACATTAAATAAACTGCAGCATACGGAAAAGTTCTAACATTTCCGTTGTCTCCTTTGTTCCTTTTCCATGACCAAGACCAGGTTATTTCAAAGAAAACGTGGATGGTATCTGCCGTAAAACATAAATTGAGTCATCACTGGAATCCGAAACATATGCCCAGAGAAAATATGAAGCCTCTTCTAAGGGCAAGACATTCTGCAAGCCTACCAAAAGCCTGTGGGATGAGATGAGCAGACGAAAAGACAGCATAAGGAATATAGCATTTTGAATGACTACGAAAGCAAATCTTAGGGGAATACCAAGTGTTACAAAGTATTAACAGCTGTGTTGCAAATACATTTATTACATGCAATCTTGTAAAATATAATTTCTTTCTTAACACAACTAAATTAGCTAAATTAGGGTTGGTTTATATTGCCTTTATATATATTTTCTTCATGTTGCAAATAAAAGGAAACCCACTCTGTAATAACACAGAGACAGTTTATTCTCGTCAGTTTTTTGTTCTTGATCTCCCACTTTAGCCTGACTTTCCACTATATTGCAGCTGACTAACCTGACCGAGATCCACGATCAGATCAGCGGGATGGCTCGGTGTCCCTACAACCCCCTGCACAACTCCACAGCCCTCATCACGTCCAGCGGAGAGCTCTACGCCGCCACCGCCATGGACTTCTCTGGACGAGACCCGGCCATCTACCGCAGCCTTGGCGGACTGCCGCCATTACGCACTGCCCAGTACAACTCCAAGTGGCTAAACGGTAGGCAGTAAACGGCAGCTAATTGCTATATTTCGTGTACATACGTGTAAAAACTAGCCTGTGCCATTGCCTGCCTGTGCAATTCTGCTCAAAAATAATCCTCGCTTCCGGCACATTCTGGGCTTCCCCCACTTGCCTCAGATTTTCGCCGGTTTATTTTTTGACCGGGTCAATCAGCGAACAGAAGCAGACGTTGTCAATGACGACGTCGATTTTCTGCATGTAGTTTAGCAATGGCAGTGGAGGGAAGTAAACGAAGCTGTTCGGTCGATGTCGGCCACGCTTCCAAATATTAAATAAACATTAGCAGCCGCCTCGTTTGGATCGGAACCTTCGCTCTCCACAAATGGAGTACGGTTGCTTACAGCGAAGGCAACTTCCGGTAAGCTTCGTCGTGGGCAAACGCTAGCAACTGGGTAAAATTTAAAACCTCAGACGATGCTTGAAATATTTGCACTGCAAGAGGAGAGTCGGTGTGTTTTCATCAGACTCACAGCCACAAGCATCTGTAAGATTTTATTCTCCAAGAAACCTTTTAGTAATCAGCCCCGAGCAAAGCAAATACTGCTCTGAACGATAATATTCACTTGCCGTTTAACGGTTAAACAAAATGTTTCTAGAGTTTCATGTCGGCAAGAAAATCTGTGTGTGGTTTAAAACATAAACACCTTACCTTTTCTTTAAGGAGAACTCAAGTTTGAAGTCCAGAAAAATCAATGGTGTTTTCCCCCCCTTAAAGCTAAAAGACATCGTAGAGCAGATTGGGGAACTTCAAATAGCTTAAGATGTCCATCCTACACAGGAGCAGGTCAATCAGTATCTTGGCTGCGAGTGACTTTTTTCCTGATTCACATTTAAGCTAAATTGAAAAAACAAATTTAAAACTACCTCATACCTTGCTTGGCAGCCACCTTCTGGGAGAAGGCTTAATAACTAATTTTATGGGGAATTGATTTTCTTCCTACATCTCCCCCTGCGCTGCCCTCTGAAGGTGCAGAGAAGAAAAGGGCAAAAATGAGATGGAGGGAGAGAGGAAAAAGGGGGGGGGGCGCATTTTCCTTTAAAGCCGAATTAAATCACCGTCAGAAAGAATAAAGTGCGCATTTTAGATCCAGTAATGTCATACATAAAGATGAACGCTTTAGCTGTAGCCGTGTCATGGAGGTTGCATGTTTCAGATGGGGTGAGAGCTATTACCCTCCACCTGTTTTGGTCATTTCTCAGCCTAACCTTTAGGTTTGGGGAGTGAAAAATGAGCTTTCTTATTACAACCCAAAGCCATTAATAACATAGCCTGTAGTTATTAATCCTGATCACCTGCTATTGTGTGGGCCGCATGCACGCTCACACACACTATGAGCCAATCAGTCATAATGCGTAGCCTATCGCTCTCCCACTCCATTCACCTCCCACAGCCTTAAATATATTTCTGTCTGTATTTTTCTTCATCTGTCTGCACTTCATCTTTCTTTTTTTCCCCCTGGCTGTCATCGAGTTTTCTTTCTGGGTCGGTTTTTTTTTTTTTTTTTCCTGTCCAGTTCATTTTTGCCGCCGCTTTTTCAACAGAGCCAAATTTCGTCTCCTCCTATGACATCGGCAACTTCACTTACTTCTTCTTCCGAGAAAACGCGGTGGAGCATGACTGCGGCAGGACCGTGTTTTCCCGAGCCGGACGTGTCTGCAAGAATGACATCGGTGGCCGCTTCCTGCTGGAGGATACGTGGACCACCTTCATGAAAGCCAGGCTGAACTGCTCCAGGCCAGGAGAAATTCCCTTCAACTACAACGAGCTGCAGGGCACCTTCTACCTGCCTGAGCTGGAGCTGCTCTATGGCATTTTTACAACTAATGTGTAAGTGATGTTGCATGACCAAATTCTTAAGTTGTTCAAATTAATGCTAAACCTAAACATCCTCCATTAATCCACTACACACTGCGCAGCTACCGATGTTGTGAAGAAACCAACCATTTCTGTGGTGCAGAGCACATTGCTGATTCTTTTCATGTTCAAAAGCCATCCAAACCTAAACTAAAACAAAAAACAAAAAAAAACTCTTTCATAAACAACTTTAAATAAATTGAAAACGGCCCAGATGGTAAGGATATGGATTTCTTAGCTTTGTTTTTAGGGTAATCTAAACCCCTGAGTTATTCTAAGATATGCCTGTTGATTTTTGTAAGGCGACACCCAAAACACAACACACGTTGGGAAAATCTAAAGAAATTAGACCGAGGGTCAGGGAATGAATTGTGGACCTCCACAAATCTGATTCACTTTCGTGTTGTCCACATGAAATGAGAAGAAAATTAATAAGGAAAATGCCGGATTACAATTTGCACAAAGATGTCAGCCATGTCATGCGTCTGATGAAAGACAGATTGGAGTGTTTGACCAAAAAGAACATTTGGTTGGAAAACTGTTTCACCTTGCAAGCCTTAGAATATCATCCTGTCTGGGATGTACCAAAATGAAAGCATCATGGTTACAGCTAATATTTTGTTCATGACAAAAATAGATGGTACTACAAGTAAAAAAAAAAATAAAAATCTTGTAAAGCAGCATCTCAAGACATAACAACAAAAACGCAACTCCACTCACAAAAGCAAATGGCAGCAGTTTGCACTCAGTGTGGTGCTCCAGATTAATTCGGACAGTAGGTTATGATTTAAAGTTAGCATTTAGAGTGACAATAGCTTAGGGGCAGAAACTATTTAACAACCTGCTTGTTCTTGCTTTTCGGGACCGGTAATGTCTGCCTGAAGGCAGCAGTTCAAAAGAATGAAGTGCTGGGTTAAATGTGTCCTTTAGAGTGAACATTGGGGAGGAAGTTAAGGTTTTCGGCACAAATAGACTTTCAAATGGATCTTTATACCACCAAATGTGTCTTTATACCACCAAGCATCAACATTAATGAACAATGAACCAAAGTCGTACAGGTTAAAATTAAATTTCAATGTCAGGAAGAAAAACGGTAGTCTTGTATGTAAATATCTGTAGATTCAGAAGAGTATTATAAATTTTGCTCCGTACTAATACACACCTGGCAGTGCAGCATTCTCTCATTCACATTTAGATGTGAACCATATTTTTTTTTATACGATGATATGCATAGCAAGATAAGAAACAGTGTGCATCTGATGAAGAGTTTGAATGCATTTCATGTTTTATCTGAGAGGCCTTTTACGTTCTTATTACTGATTGGATGTGTCAATTTTACAATCTAATCTCATATCAAGTGTTTAATCCTCTGTTTTATTCTCTTTTCCTTCTTATTTCCTGTTATTTAAACTGCTGTACAGCCACTTGCCCTATCATTAAAGCTGAGTAATCAATTCTTTACAGTCAACGCCTTCATGCAACGGAGGGAAAAAAAAAAAAAAACATTTGAAGGGTATTGGAAACATTTCCCCCTACAGGCACAGAGCTTAATGAACAGCTGCACTGGATTATAATTCACATTGCCAAAAGTCTTGCAGTTTGTGTCGAGAGTTAATGCTCTCATTCTTTACTTTCTCTTCCAAGCGAGGCGACCGGTACTTGTTGAAACTGACAGCTTAAAAAGTCAAAGCTGTATTTCAGCTCAGAGATCTATACCGTTAATCAGAAAAGCCGAGCAGCTTAATTGTGCCTTGTTGCTGGATTTATAGTCTAATAATGACAGTCACGAGCGACGCAGAGGGTGTCTGTCTCTTTAGGGTTTGATTTTTTTTTTATTGTTGTTGCCAGCATGCCGAGGTAATCCTAACAAAAGCACACAAAATCTGATGTGCTTCCACATTGAGCTGAGTTATTTATTTATTTTTTTTGTAAATTTGATAATGCTAATCTTTGTTTTTGTTTTCTTTCCACTCTCCTTCCTGTTTTGAGGGACTGTCTAATCTTTTTTTTTTCCCCTTCTATTCTCAACCATCAGAAACAGCATTGCTGCATCTGCAGTGTGTGCCTTCAATCTCAGTGCCATATCCCAGGTTTTTAATGGACCTTTTAAGTACCAGGAAAACTCACGATCGGCTTGGCTGCCCTACCCCAACCCAAACCCAAACTTTCAGGTAATGTATGCGTATTCATCCGTGAGGTATCATGTTATGTCGCGATGGATTCTAATGGTGCGACAACCTCTGGAAAAAATACCAAAGTATTTACAAATTTCTAAAAGATTTCAAAATGCTATTAAAATAACAGGAGCATTTTCTCTACATTTGTAGTTGTTTATGCAGGATATCTTGGAAGTTCTTAAGAAAGTCCATCCAAAACAAAAATGTTACAATAAATCAGGTTCATGATAACATTAGGTGGTTAATGCTTCTTTCTGCATTTCAGACCTTTTGAGGTTTGTATGTAAACTCCACATTAGGGGGATGTTTCAGTGTTGATAAGAATATTAAACCAAAAACAAAGGACAACTCAACGATCACCTTTTATATGATTAGAAAATCAGGACCAATCTGTAAAAAGAGGGACATTTTTGCACACTTAATGAAGAATAAGCGTTCCTCACCCATTCACCTCAGAGGAAGCTCTTCACGTGTTATATAATTTCTTATAAGTATCTATTAAGTGCGTCTTCTCTCACAATCGCGCACATTATGGCTGCTCATTATAAACTCTGTTGTATAGGTCATTCATTCCTTGAAGATATCTCATGGAGTCGCCCTTAATAAACCTAACTTATTTTTGCACTGGTAATTCTTTATGTTTATGCCCTACCCTAAAACCTGAAGGTGTATGGAAAGCATCTTATTTTGATTTAAGGCACCATTCCATAGTGATGATGCGGAGGGAATGCGTTATTTGCAGAACAAGTGGCTCTCGGTTTTTGCAGCCGTAGCAGATGGTGAGAGAGCTAATCCACCCGGCTTTCGTGAGGAATTGAATTCCCTATGAGGTGTGGCCACCGGTGGGTGACACTTGCCTCGCTTTCTCAGACGTTTCTCATCACCGGCCTCCATCATGTCGCCGCCTGAGCCAGCACATGCAAGAGCCCTCGATCGAGAACTAACACATGCATTATCTATAATGGCGTTGCTCATGCAGAAAAGGCGAAAGGAATGCTCGGAGGGGGGAGGAAAAAAAAAAAAGGTGCAAGCTTTGATGGTATGCTGCATGCACACGTGAGCACACGGCAATAAATCTGTGACATAGAATGTAACTCTCTGTCGTCATGCGTTCTCATATCTTGCTTGTCAGCAGCTAGTTTAGCAAAAACAAACTTCATGAAAATCAATTTTCCTTATCTGGTCAGAGCTGACTGCAAATTTATGCCCTTCAGTGTGCTATAGGAACATCACATCGGGGGAGTCTGTGCTCCATATTTTTTGTTACGCTTCTCGAGGATAAACGTGGATCCGTCTCACCTCTCCCCGCCCCCCCATCTTCCTGACTTAAGCTTGGGTACAATGTTTGCTCCTTACCAATGGACCAATGCTCACTTTATCTAGGTTTCAGTGACATCTTCATCAGGCATTTGTCAATGTTGGGATTTACAAGCGCAAGATTTATAGCTCTTTCTCAAGCCAGCACACATAGACTTTCACAGAAGCGCAGGCACCAACAGGCATCTGTAAAATCAAGGAGCCACAGAAACCGCACACCTCGCATATCACATATAAAATACATTCGTTGTACAGCTACGCTGCCCGAAAAAAGAAGGAATAGACCTGCCAGGTGAGGATAATTATGATTATGAAGAGATGCCTCAACACACACATGCATGCATATTGGTCATTGATTGAGAGCCTAATTCCCAGTCTGCAGAGAAAATCCCTCCATTCATTTGAAGCACACCGATTGATCCTGCAGGGTTTGTTCAGGCAATGAGTCATGTTCATTGTGCATTACTGCCTAATACTGCCTATGTGTTATGTTGGGTTTATGTCATTTTATAATAGATTATTATTATAAAAAAAAAAAAAACATTCTTTATTCAGCCACAAAGTAGAAGCATTTGTTAAGTTTGACTAAGAGGCAAAAGCAAATATGTTTTTTCTTTTAGTTTTCAGTAAGACATACAACAAAGATGGCAGGCAAAAATAAGTTTATAATTCTGCCTGCCTCCAGTTCAGGTAAATAGTTATGAAAACAATTCTGTTATTGTGAAAATAAACTGGAATTAAACTAAAACTAGATATTTTTTTAGAAAAAAGGTTCCTGGTTAGCCTTTTGGGATGATGTAACATTATACAGTGCCTGACAAAAGTGTCCAGAACGCTTTTTTTTTTTTTCATATTTTGTCACATTACAGTGAAAAACCTTGACACGTTGTAATGGCGTTTTATGTGAAAGAACACAAAGCGGAGTGAAACTGAAAGGAAAATGATACATAGTTTGTAACATTTTTTACAAAAAAAAAAAAAAAATTAGCACACCTTTGTTTTTATCCCCTTTCACTCTGAGAACCTAAGTAGATTTCCCACAGTTCCTTCCCCTGCCTGATATAAAGGAAGGAATAAAGGACTAATATAAGTCTAGATGGAGAAGAAGGAGCCAGATATTTACAACAATTAACCCTTGTGTTTACAAATGTGGTCCAACTGACCCCACACCCGTAAAATTTGTATTATTTGCCACAGTCCTTCCACGCACAAGGGTTAATGTTGACATATATGTATTTTTTCCACTATATATTTAGTATTTTCATTAAAAACATATAGACCCTATGCATGGCTAACATGACAAGGAAAATATCTCTAACCAATAGAGAAAAAAATGCAAGTCTTTTCAAGTCACCTTCACCAAAACGTTTTGTTCACAAAGCCTCATGCATAGTGGTCACTACAGTGGACAGCTGTCTAAAAGCCTTTTTCTTGTGCTTCTTGTGGATTTTTATGTTATAAATGCACACAAACCACTGAAGTGGACACTAATGCATCATAAAATACACCATCACCTACTGGCCATCAGCTGCAAATGCAAGAAATTATTTTTGTTCAATCCAATATGGCCGACAGACAAAAAAGCACGCCAACCGACCCGGTCCCTCCTTCTACTATAGACGACACTGGCAGGTAAAAAAAATATTGTGACATCAGATAACCGCTAAAGAACAATACTACTGGTGTATTTTTCAAATAACAACTTTGTATTTGGAGAAAATTACAATTGATCGCCTAAAAAAATAAAATAAAATTAAAAAAAATTGTTTTACACTTTTTTCCTGTCTTTTTTTATGCCTTAAGAAAATTAAAAAAAAAAAATTTGAAAATAATCCTGATTCAAAAGGTCATAATTCATGCATGAAAGGGTTAAAATTCAACAAACATAGCCAAAAGCCCAAGAAGGGCAAAATGTGAAAAATGTCAAGAGGTGTGAACACTGTCCTTTGCAAGGTTCAGCAAATCCAACAAAGATTGGGATCATGTGTTGCCAAGTGTTAAACGTTTAGTTACTCAGGAAACGCAGAGTCTAAAATGAAATACCGTGATACTAGGAAGACATTTTAAACACACTGCCATTTTGCAAAAACATGGTGTAAAACAACCACGGTTCTGAGTGCCACTTATGTCATCCTGGCAGAGCACTTTGCCCTGATGATGAGAGGGGGAGACAGCTGAGTGTTGGATGGGCCCTCAGCCAAATGATGGTTGTGTCCCTCACCTTGACTCTCTGCTCATAACATCAATTTTACAGTGCATTCGCTGTAATGGAGCCTCAGTGGCCAGAGACAAACACGTAAAATTCTGTCATCCACATGCTTCAGCATCCTTGCACACAGTGCAAAAGCAGACCACAAAGGGAAACTTTAGACGTGTGTTACTGAACATCCACACTGCAAACACATTCAACATATTTTTTTTTTTTTTTTTTTTTTTTTTTTTCGAGGGGGGGGGGTTTTTTTGGATACTTGGGTACCAACATT